ACAGCAGATGTGCATATACCGAAACAATTGAGACATAAGGGAGATAATGTATCTAGGAGGCTCGGGTTCATGGGCTATGAAACAGGTACAAAGGGATATAGATTTATTGACAATAATAACAAATTCATAATTTCTAGGACAGCTGTATTTCACAAACAGGCCAATTGGTCTAAGATACATCTTAATGAAATACTTCCAACAACAAGACCAGATATTAAGACACAAGATAAAACAGAAAGAGAAGGACAAAACTGCAGTACACAAAAGGGCAACAACAAAACATGGATGGGAAATTGTCCCAAAATCAAAACAGATTCATTAACACAAAAGGAAGCAAGATATTTACACGATAACAACAGCAGACCAGAAAGAACAATTAGATGTAACAGGAATCAAGTACCAAAAAGATATAAGGATTACATAATGCACATAAATAATGATACATCAACACCTAATACATATGAGGAAGTATTAAAACTCCCCACAGAAGAAAGAAAGAAATGGGAATTAGCCATGGCCAAAGAAATGGACAGTTTGCAAGAACTCAAAGTATTCACCCCAACACCAGCTCCAAAAGATAAAACAATTATAGGCACTAGGTGGATATTTAAAATTAAAAATCTAGAAGAGGGCAACACATTATATAAAGCAAGACTGGTTGCACAGGGCTTTGCCCAAAGATACCCTGAGGATTATACTGACACATATTCTCCCACTGTAAGAACTGAAAGTGTTAAAACAGCTTTAGTAATAGCCTCAGCCCTTAATCTTGAAGTCTTTCAATACGACATACAAACTGCATACCTACATGCAAAACTCGATAAGGAAATATATGTAAGAGCTCCTCATAGTCAAAACACAAATAGAAACGAAACATGGTTATTAAACAAAAGTTTGTATGGATTAAAGCAATCCAGCAAACGTTGGTATGAATGCTTGGTCAACATACTCAAAACTATGAACTTCAACGCCACAACTGCAGACAATTGTTTCTTTGTTAGGAGAGATGGTGATTCATTAGAATTTGTGTTAATTTATGTGGATGACATTTTGTATATTGGCAAACATAAAGATGAGAGAGATATATCTGTAACAAAATTAGGAGAACATTTCTCATTGAAATCATTGGGGAAAGTAAATAAATATCTTGGAGTACAGATTAGTAAAACTAAAAAAGGATTTAGATTGTCTCAGAAGGATAAAATGATTGAACTCTTGAACAGATGCAATATGAATGATGCAAAGCCTTGTGATACCCAAATGCAAGCTGGTTTTCTAAAGAATATGAATGAATCATCTCCTGAGTTTAATGATAATACACTTTACAGATCAGTTATTGGTTCCCTTTTATATATTGCTAATTGGACCAGGCCCGATATTGCTCTACCCCTTAATTTATTGTCCAGATATGTCAGTAAGCCTTTGATTTATCATTGGGAAGCTATTAAAAGAGTGCTAAGGTATTTGAAACACAGCTTAGACTTTTGCCTACTGTTAGAACCCAACAATGTTAAAGAGCCTATTCTCACTTGTTACGCTGATGCTGACTGGGCAGGCGACACTAAAAGCAGGAAGAGCACTTCCGGCTATGTATTCTTTCTTAACAATTGTCCAGTCTACTGGTATACTGGAAAACAAGATTTAGTAGCCACATCAACTACTGAGGCAGAGTATATTTGCTTGTCAAAAGCTTCTAATAATCTCATATGGTTCAATGCTCTATTAACCAATGTTTGGAAGAGTCCTTCATTACCATTTATTATACCTGAAGATAACAAAGCTGCAATAGAGATATCTAGAGCAGATGCTATTGGTCAGAGATCTAGGCATATAGATATCAAATACAAGCATGTAAGATAATTATCTCAAAATGGATTTATTAAGCTATTCATTGTGAAACCACAGAACAAATAGCTGATATATTGACTAAGCCTTTACAATCAAAACAACATAAATATTTAACTTCAAAATTACATGTTTTATATTGTTCTGAATCTGAATGTAACTACTGTTGTATGTTGAATCGGCATTTAGAGGGGGATTTGTCATGGATAAATGCCTTATTCTTAAATGAAAGAGATATATACTCATAGAGTATCAAGGGTTAATTTATTCTTCCTTTCCTAATGTATTCCTCTGTAACCACTCCTACCCCCTAATCCCGCCTCATTGATATAAAAGGGGATACATGCTCCTCCTCCTTGCTTCTATCTACAATCACTCAGTGAATATAGAATGCCTGCTGTAAATAAACAATACTTTGTTTGAATACTATAATTCTGAATTCTTTATTGAGTCCGATCCTCGAATTACGGCAACATCTTCAGCATCATTTGATAGGTAAGAGATTTTGTCCCCAGGTCATTAAAAAGCTCTCAAAAGATCACTTCTAGAGTTACAGACAATACACACACAGATGCCTGCACCTGATAGCTGACCACTTCTACTGCCCCATCCTTGGTAGACCATTGCAGCAATGGCAGGCCATTAAAAAGATGAAACAATAAGCTTAGTTTTCACTGAAGGCCTTCCAATCCCAAACTGTATTCAAATGACAGTCAAAGAATAATAAAAAAAGGCTGGACCACATTCACAACTGATTGTTGCATAACTTGATGTAAACTTGGGGCATTTTTATATGGTAATACACAGCTTTGAAAGGGATGTAGTGCATGGTGTGATCTACTATCACTTTGACAAAAATATCAAATTTTCCAGATGCGAAATCTTCTAGATTCCCCTTATTCATATTTCAAAAGATAGTGTAAAAAAAGCTTATATTGCTGATTTAGTTGAATGGGCAGGAAATTTCAAGAAGAAATAGCACTTTGGATTTCTTTGGTTTAAATCATGTCAGCAGAGCTTGTAGCTCTAATGTAAAGCTTCTAGTAGATGGTGCTAATTCTACCATGACACATAAAAGTTTTCTTTACACAAAAATGGACCACTGCTCATCAAATACTATGCATTTTGAGTAACAAATAAGGAATTCTCACAGAAAACCTACAGGCTTTACTCCTAAAAAGATCCCATTCTACCATTCAGCTACTAGTCTTCCCTAGTTGCATTATTTACCTGTGGGATGGAGAAAGAAGGGGTTCACCATAATTTTTAGGTGGCTCCACTAATTTTAAGATCCAAAATATATAGAAGAATATAAAATACTTTTGCCTACAAAAATTTCCCTTTTTATGTGAAGTCTCCTTTACTTCCTCTTTTAACAGAACAACAGAGTTGGAAGGGACATTGGAGGTCTTCTAGCCCAACCCCTTGTTCAAGCAGGAAATCCTTTACCATTTCAGACAAATGGTTGTCCAATTCCTTCTTAAAACCTCCAGTGTTGGAGCACTCACAACTTCTATAGGCAAATCATTTCACTGATTATTTGTTCTGTTAGGAAATTTCTCCTTCATTCTACGTTGCTTCTCTCCTTGATTAGTTTCCATGCATTGCTTCTTGTATTGCCTTCAGGTGATTGGAGAATAGGTTGACCCCTTCTTCCTTAGGGCAGCCCCTTAGATATTAGAATACTGCTATTATATCACGCCTAGTTCCTAGTTTTATCGCTTTGGGTATCAAGAGATTTTTTAATATTTTATATAAAGTACAACTCGAAAATTTGGGCAAACATGTATACACAATAGAATCTCAATTTGAGGGAAGAGATATCTAATAAATTTGAATGTTCTTTAAATCTGAATTCATGTATTTGACAGATTTAACTTCATTTGTACAAAGTAATTTGTATAATTATACAATTAATCAATATGCAAATCACAATGTCACAAATTATAGAATTATACAAATGTACATCAAATGACATCAGTTACTTGGACTGCTTTGGAATCAGTGGAATTTATCTATTATTTGCAAGTAAAGTCTGAGTTAACTATTGCTTGTTGTATTTCAAATTCTGTCAATGTTTTGTTTTACTATGTTAAAAGGAAAAAAAAATCCAAAACCATATATATGAGGTAACAGTATGACCAAAAAGGCATTTTTCAATTTGAAAAGGGTAAATGCTGGGAAATCTATGCAAGAATGATATATCAATTCAGTATGTATAGAAACAAAATCAGAAGAGATAATCCATTTTAAATTCTTGGAGCTTGAGAAGAGATAGCATTCCATTTGTTGTACATAACTGCTCAGCAGGATTCATAGCAATTCTGCTGCAGGATCCTAAGACTGCTTCCTAATTTTACAAAAACAGTTCAAAGCCTCTCCCTTCTCTTCACAACAGTAGCTCTTAAATATCTTTAAGACAGCCAAAAACTATTTTATCAGCTTCCCATTAATACATTTTGATCCTTGCTTAGTTACAGTCTTCAGTCATTTTAGTACATGGAGAAGTAATCTCTAAGTCTGCCATTCCCTTTTTTGCATTACAAATCATTTGTAGTTTTATAACTGTCATTTCCAAGGACATCTGGAAAAGATAGATTTATGAAAGGTTATCGTGCATTCTAAAGAGTCAGGAATTAGCATGACTTTGTAAAGGTTTTTGGAAATTGAGCAGGAGCTGTAACCAGCAATAAGCTGTTTTCTGCTCTAGTCAAGTATCTTTATTTAAATATTAAGGGAAAGGTATGACCCTTGGCCTCAGAGATCACTGTGCTACAGCAATAGTGCAATCTATTAACTGTCAATGAAGTACCATGCACTTGGATCTCTCAAGATACCTATTTGTGGACAGTGCTATAATGCTCCTTCCATTAGGCATCCCCAAGGCAAATAACCTTGGCTTTAACAGAGTCAATTTAAAATTCCTTAGAGTAAAATTAAGAGAATATCTGAGTTTTGTGAGTTTAAGATAGAATGCCTGCATTAGTGTCATTCCATAAATTGTATCTGGATATCATCTCAATGGAAGGAATTCACATATGCCTACAGGTAAATATTAAATGAAAGAGACATCAAAAAACCATTGGGATGTTTTCAGTTTCCATATCAGAATGACTCATTTTCACTGATATACATCTTATTTATTTTACTGTAAGGAAATATAAAGAGCCTTGGTGGCGCAGCAGACTAAAGCACTGTTAAGTAACACCAGCTGCCTGCAATTACTGCAAGTTCAAATCTCACTAGGCTCAAGATTGACTCAGCCTTCCATCCTTTCGAGGTAGGTAAAATGAGGACCCAGTTTGTGGGGGCAATAAGCTGACTTTGTATAAAAAAGAACACCGCTTGGGGGGGGGGCGAAAGCCCTACTAAGCAGGTATATACAAAAGTATGAAGGCTATTGCTTAACGCATTGTAAGCCGCCCTGAGTCTCCGTAAAAGGGCGGCATATAAATCGAACCAATAAATAATAAATATGACACCACTAAAATTAAACCTAATTAAAACAGAGAAGAGAAAAAGTCAACAAGAGTATTTGTGTGAAAAACTCTAGTAATGCATAACTGAAAACTTGTTTAGAAAAGTCACTAATTACATTTTTTTCAAGTAGAATTGATATTAACATACCATCAAAAATAGCTTTTGGATAAATTTTGGATTTAGAATTCAGATGATGACATTTTCCCAGTCTCATTTTCATGTATTGTAGTATGTTTTTCAAGAATAAAATGTATGTTATTAACTGGATCTGTTAATGAATCATAATTAGAAAAAATATTGTCTCTATTCAATTGTCCATATGGTATAATTGTGAGATGCCAAAAAACACTATTTCATGGTTCTCCGTCCACATTCTGAATCTGAAATAACTTTGATAATTGTTAAAATTATGTCATTTTACTTGCAAAATGTCTTAGTCTCTAGAGCTGCAATCCTATTATGTAAGAATCTTTGGGGAAAGTTCAGCTGTCCCCTAATTTGCACAGTAAATAGAAGAGAAACCATCTTGACTTTTTTACTTAAGGCTGCAAATTGTCTGACAATGTGTCCACATATGTATGGGCACTGATCTATAGTTGTCAAAAGTTGAGCAGCACAATTAAGTCATGAATAGTTATAGCTTCAACAACATGGGTTAGATAATAGGCTTGTAACACTGAAACTGGTAAAAATGGGCCATGCACACAATTCTAGCCCTTCTGTCTGAGTTTTGGAAAAAATACCAGTTCTTTAGACAATTTAAATCCTTTTTATTAAGGCCATGGATTCTATATAGATCCATATTCAAGTTCAAGCAAACGTTGACTACAGATTTTCTTCAAACTACAGTTCTCCATTTTCAAGCTTCATTTACTATCAATGTTGTAGAACAGTGGTGGGTTCCTCCCGGTTCTGCCGAGCCGGTAGCGGTGACGATATGACGTCACCGAACCGGTTCTGGCCCCCCACCCCCCCCACCCCCGCATTATTCTTACCTTTTATTTGGCCCCACCCCAATCTATTGCTGCCTCCTGAGTCCCAGCTGATGGCTAGAGGGAAAAAAACTGTTTAAACTCTTGCCGCGGGGCTTCAAAGGGCCGCCCTACAGCTGATCAGTGTTAAAAGAAAACAAATGAGTAGACCAGTGCCTGCAAAAATACATGAGTAGATCAGTGCCTGCAAAAATACATGAGTAGACCAGTGCCTGCAAAAATAAATGGGTAGATTGGTACAGCCTGGTAGACCAGTACCTCTGCTAAATCCTAAATAATTGTCACATGACCATCAAACCACGGCCACAAAATAAGCCATGCCCACAAAATAAGCCCCACCCACAGAATCGGTAGTAAAAAAATTTAGAGCCCACCCCTGTTGTAGAATGGGGTGGAGCTAGATGATTCACCAATTTCTTTATTGTGGTTGTTTTATGTTGGTATGAAGGTGCAGGGTTCTTCCAACAGCTGGTCTTTTTAAAAAAATTTAAAAGTGCTTTAGGATAAATGCTAGGGAAAGAATGCTAGGATTTTGTTTATTAGGAAGTATAGAAAGTAATAGTTGTGGACAACTACTTTAAGAGAAGTCTTGCTGCTTTCAGGAGTGTGCTTGAAATTTTCTGACTCATGCACAAAGATATTTATTTTCACCAGTTGATTTCCTGAATACCAGGCGTTTCAAACCAAAATCAGATGCTATAGGAGGACTAGTTAATTAGCCTGAGAGCTGCAAGACTTCAGCATTTTCATTTCATATATGCAAAGGTTTCTAGAAAGTAAACAATGAAGAAAATGAAAGTTTTCTTCATTTGCTATCTACAGTATGCTATCAAACAAAAATTTATTAAGTGAAAATCTCTGCCTCTGCCATAAATTAGCTATACATCCTACATACGAATCCTTATCGGAACTAAATGGATAGTTTCCATTTATTTAATGGAATTTAATTGTGTCTTGACAAATACTTACATTTAGAAATGGTATATTGAAAGATACCAAAAAATGCAGACTGTTTTACAAGTGATACGAACAAAAATTAAGTTAGGGAAGTTAGGAATTTATTCTAATATGAATAAATTTTATTATATCTTTCTGCATTTCCACTTTGATGGAAATGCTGATTTTCATCACTAATTTTAAGGAAGCGATAGAGACATTATGGTTTCTTCTGCTACCCTTATTTATTTAATTTTAAATTTATATGGTACCCATTACACTCCAACAGCAATTGATTTTCTGATTTCCAAGGAAAATTGGTCACAAGAATGGAACAAGCTGGTTAATTTAATCCTACCCTGGGTGTTCATACACTAGCAAAAAAATACAACATTGAAAAAAGGACTATACTTGCAGACTCTGCTCTGTACAGATGCAAAACAAGATCAAGAAGGAATTTATGTACAAATAAGTAGTATTTTTTTTCAGAACTTAACTCAGCTGTAGTCCAATCAAATATACTTGTATGTGCTTCTGGCTACACAACTTTCACATATATTGAATCAAAACATTGGGACACAATTCACCAAAAGAAATGCTTTGCCCCTTTCTTTTGCCTCCAGAAATCGTGGGTACTCCATCACTTGATATTTCTAAGAAGATTCACTTATCTGAAATAGTATAGGTTTTCCTGCTTGAGCAGTGGGCTGGACTAGAAGACCTCCAAGGTCCCTTCCAGCTCATTCATTCTAAACTTTTATTGCATTTCACAAGGAGCTAAAACATACAGTAGGATTCCATTCTATATTTGACTCAAAATGAACGATTGGGGGACATCATCTTAAGTATATAAGTTAGGGATATTATTTACTGGATTATTGGCTTTTTCTGATTTTTTTTCTTCATGGCCTATTGCAGATGATTAGGGTTACATACAAATATATAAACAAGCATGGTGTATAGAGAGCCGAGGTGGTACAGTGGTTAGAGCGCAGTACTGCAAGCTGCTTCAGCTGTCTGCTAGCTGCAGTTTGGCAGTTCAAATCTCGCCAGCTCCTTCAGATTGTTCGGGATAATATGCTGACTCTGTAAATCACTTAGAGAGGGACTGTAAAAGCACTGTGAAGTGGTATATAAGTCTAAGTGCTATTGCTATTGAATGTGAAATATAAAATGCATGTCAGCACTGCTTTTTAAGAGAGTCTGTAAGTTAGTAAATATGAAATATACAATGGCATTTTTTATAGTCTCATTGAGAGATGTAGGAATTTCTTGACTTCCTGTGGCTGTAAAACCAGTATGATATTGATCATTAAGACATTCAAAAAACCTTTTGTGCCTTCTTTGTAAGGTACAAATATCACAGATTATATCGAATCAATCTCAGCTCAATTCATCCAAGCAGTTTTCTTGGCAAAACCGTGCAAGTGATTTGCTATTGTCTTCTTCTAGGATATTTTTTTGAACTTCTTAATCTAGTTATACCCTTTGAATTGTCAAAAAAAACCACCCTTCCCTTCAAGTCCTAACCAAGTACCTCCACGCCTGAGCTTTCAGAAAAGGTTGGCAATATACTGTGTTTCTCCAAAAAGAAGGGTGGGTCTTATTTTCTTTTGCCCCCCCCCCCCAAAAATGGCTAGGCTTTCTTTTTGGAAGGCTCTAATTATTGACTCACCTGGCAGCGGTGGCACCGATAGCCCCGCCCAGCAGGAGCCCGCTGTTGGCCCACATCTGCGGCTGCTTGCCACCACTCGCACACATCACCCGGCCTCCATTTTGCCTTCAGTTGCCTGCCAGAAGACATCTGCAGCCGATAACTGAGCTCCAGATCGATCCAGAGCTCTGTTATCGGCTGCAGATGCCTTCTGGAAAGTCCTCTGCAGCCGATAATAGAGCTCTGGACCAGGGGTGGTATTCACTTACCTTTGCTACCGGTTCGCAAATGTGAGTACGCGCGCCTCCACGCATGCGCAGAGGGTCAAAAATGGGATGTGATGACATCTGGGTGGTTGGACCTCTGGAGCCTCCCGCCACTGGTGCTACTGGATTGCGCAATCTGGATAGAGTCAGCTGAATTTCACCACTGCTCTGGACCAATCCGGAGCTCTGTTATTGGCTGCAGATAACAGATGCCAGCAGGCATCTGAAGGCGAAATGGAGGCCAGGGCAATGTGTGCAAGTGGTCACAGAAGAAGACGAGGCAGGTATCAGGGTGTGTGAGGCCTGGTAAGTAGGGCAGCTCCACCACCCCCTATCCCCACCCTAGCTTATTTTTTACCTGCGTGCCTCACCCCACCACCTGCACCCTGGGGTGGGCAGGGACTTAATTAGGGCTAATTTTGTAGGTGGTGCTTAATTTGATTGCATGTGCTCAAAAATGTGATAGGGCTTCTTTTCAAGGTGGGTCGTCTTTTTGGAGAAACACTGTACTCACATCTGCAAACATTAGCATACTTCTAATACCTAGTACCTAGAACCACACAAATTACTAAGAGGAATGTTTAAATTGTGCTCACTCATTTTACTCCATCTGAAAATATATGGACACATGTAAGTCCCAGGGGAGGGGTGGGGGGGTGGCGGTTCTAGTAAAGGAAGGTCTCGCCCCAAGGGAGGCCACTGTACCTCAGATAGCTGGATGTGAGTCCCTCCTTGTGAAGTGGGGACAAGGGAGGCAGATGGGCTTGCTGATTACGTACCTGGCTCCCTGCCATGTGTCAGCGGCCCTGCCCGAGCTCCTCAATGTGATTGCCGAGGTGGCGGTGGAGACCCCCAGGCTTATGGTCATGGAGGACTTTAACC